CTGGGATTACAGGCATGTGCCACCATGCCTGGCACATTTTTATTTAGCAACTCATGTATATATCTCTACAACTAGTAATTTAGTCTTGCCCTCTTATAATTTAAATTTTTCATCTTTTTAAAATCTCCCATTTCTTTTTTCTTTTCTTACAATTTATTTGTTAAAGAATCAAAGTAGTTTGATTTGTAGAATATTCCAGTCTAGATTTTGTTGAGTGTACACTCCTCCACATTTCCTGAAAATAGGCATCTGATTCCAAAAGCTTTGTCTGATTCAGGTTTGATCTCTACCAAGTTATAGCTGCTGTTCCAATAGGTTGTCTCTCTTTCTGTGATGGTAGCAGCCACTGGTGCTCAATTCCTAGATTCATTACTTCACTGGGAGTTTTTTTTAAATGATGATATTCTATCAGTTTTTTCACTTGTTTACTGAGATACTTTATAAAGATATGAACCATAAGGCCAGGGATTTAGCTCAGTGGTTCCGTCACCTGCCTCACAAGTACAAGGTCCTGAGTTCAATCCCTGGTACCAAAAAAAAAAAACGAACTGTAATACTGAGAAACCACACATAGTAGGTGACCCTCCAGGGTTACAGCACATCTTTGAAAGATCAGTAAAGGTTGATTCTTTCACTTAATTTATGTTTCAAGATAAAGAATTAGCTCCTTATAACCCTCCAGGAGTGGCCATTTAGGTTTGTTTTTTGTTTTGTTTTGTTCTGTAAAGTATTATAACCTCACAGATTATTTGATGAGTTCTAGTTCATAGTGATTATTATCTTTCGTGAAGCTCAAATTGTCCCATCTTTAGCCAGTAGAAGCATCTTTGATTTCTCTCCTGCATCCGCAAGCACAGTGGTCTGTAATAGCTTCCTTGTTATATATGTGACAAGATATTCACATCTCATCTGGTATACATTTCTTGTTTTAGACCAGAAATCAGTTATTTCTCTAAGAAGCTCTGGTTTCTTTTAGTGAGAAATGGTACTTCAATATCACATTATGGCCACTAAAGAATGCATGATTTCTGACTTGGTCAATGTTCAAGGTCATTCAATGGGTAAAATAAAATACCTTAGTAGTTTATGATGATACTTCCAATTCAAATGTGGAACTACAGGGTTTTAACTTTGTCTATAAATGTTTCTCCTTTCTTCCATGAGCTCCCTAGTTCTAAAGAACACAGGAAACAGAAATAAACTATTTGGGGCTTGGAAAGTAGCTCAGTCATACAGTATTTGATTAGCATACGAGGCCCTGAGTTCAATCCCCAGCACTAAGGTGGTGGGGAGAAAAAGAAATAATTGCATAATTATCAAAGTACCCATGTTCTTTACCCTAAATTATCCATATAGTAGTCTCAAAATAACATGACTAATAGTTTCACTACTAATTCAATTACTAAAAATGGCTTAAAATTTTTGCAATGGCTTTCCCCAATTGTCTCTCAGTTTTAGTCATACCATAATATCTCTATTGTCAGAGGATACATTCATTATGTTTTTCCCTATTATACCAAAATTAGCATTAGTTGTACAAACTACTATGTATTTAATGTTTAGCACCAGAAGCATTAATATTGATGTTTCTTTAGTAATTTTGTTTGGCTGCCACCTAATTTTTATTAGATTCCTAAGGAAGGGGCTCATGGGAAGAATACTTCCCAAATATTTGAATGTCAATGACAGTTTTTGCCCTTTATATTTGAACATCAGGGTTTTTTTCTAGTATTTATTTGGTTAAGATTAATAATAAAATGTTACTTCACAATTAATTTTTTTTCACAATAAATTTTTGCCTTTAAAAGTCATGGCCCTATAGCACTTACTTTGAACACAGAAGAAACCACCAGCTGAATTAATATTCCAAATCATAATCAGTAGCTTATGTTATCAAACTGTTAAGACATTTTATTTACTAACTTGACTGTCAAAATGGTACCAAAAAAAAAAAGCCAACTCCGTTTACTAGCATCTGCAGAAACTAAAACTCTGGTACATAAATGAGGTTTTTTTTAAGGACATAAAATAATACCAATCCAATAACCCAAAGGTATCCCTAAATCATAATCCTAATATGCTTTACTTTTTGTTATTTCTATTTTTAAGCTATTTAACTGCATATTGCTATAAGATGTGATGGAGTTTCTTTACTTAATCTAACATCAAATATTGCTCCAAATTACAATGATTGGTTTCTACAGCCCTGGGAGAATTTACAATGAAATCACATATAAGATTAACATAGATGGAATTCAACTTTTCCAAATCCAATTAATTGTATCTATTAAAACTGAGAACCTTCTGCATGACCTGCCAGTTTCCCACTCCTTTTGTCAATTTAAAAAAGAAGTATTTCTGGGGAAGTCAGGACTTATTAAAAACATTAAGGTCCAGGATATGTTTACCATACACTTTAATCCACCTCATTTAAAGCCATATATTTAAATGACATGGCTATTCAACTCTTCAATGCTGATCCTAGAAAATAACCTCCAATGGATCTTTGAATAATGGAAAAAGACGACATTCAGCCATGAACCTCTGTGTGGTGTAGGTGGTCACACCCTTAATGTTCAAGCCACAGCTGTGAAGTCTGGGAAGGTTGAGGTCTACTGTCCTGCAGTATCAGAATTTGTAGTAGTTTCAGTGCTAATGGGCTGCACGTTGTCTGCAAGGTTGTGTGCATGCTCAAGAAACAAATCTTTCAGTACACTTGAATTCTTTTGTCAGCAATTTTTGCTTCCAAGCATTCATTCTCTTCTTTGAGCTGATTCACTCTTTGCAGCGTGTCTTGTGCTTACTGCTTGCTTTTCAATCTGCTCTTTTTCACAGCCATGTTGTTCCTTTCTCTCCGCTGACGATGCTCATCACTATTTCGATCCATGGGTGAACTCTTTTTGCTCTGCTTGCTGGGAGACACGGCTTTGCCTCCTCCCCCAGGGCCAGCAGGAAGCAGCTGAGGAACCTGCTGCAAGCCGCTGGCATGTGCCTGAGTGTGAATAACACGTATCCCGTTCACTCCTGCAGTACTGTTTTGCTGCGTTATCTCGCTCATTTGGGCACTCTCCCTTGCCAACACAGGTCAGTAGAAATGAGAGCAAGGTGATCGATCAGTCGTTTCCGCGATAAACTGCCAAAAAATCTTCACGTGTACCTCAGTTGGCTATTTTCCTGTGTTCCTTTCAACCATGCTAAAGGGAGTTTCACTGCTTACTCCTTTCTTTCTATTCAACTCTTGGTCGCTGCATGTTTTAGACGATGTCCCACAGTGAACTGCGCCTCCAGCCCGCCCGCCCCCAGGTGGCCTCCAACTCCGAGTGGCCCCACCCCGCCCAGCCCGGCCCAATCCAACCCAGGCTAGGAGGCGTCAGTTTTGCTAATCTAAAATTCATGGTTCACGTTGTCTTTACTGAATATATTAAATATGTTCCTCCATAGTCTTTTGGCATAAAGTATTACAATAGTAAAGTCGTGATAATTTTTTTCTGTTTATAAGCTACACTGCCTAGATGTTTACAGCTTCCTCCAATCCTTTTCCTTTAAAGTCCAACAATTTTACTAGGATGTTTTGGTATTGGTTATTCTAAGTCCATATTTTCAGGTATGCAATGTATACTTTCAACATATAGTTTCATATCTTTTATTTCAGATAATGTTTCCATATGATAGATTTTAGTATTTGTTCTGATCTTTTGTTTCAAATCCAGTGTTCCTATTATCACTACACTGGATCTTTTATTTTTTTCCATTAACAATATTCATTCTTTTCATCTCTTCATTTCTTGTAATTAAAAAAAAAAACTTCATTAAATCCTACATTGTCTCTCTTAAGCTATTTTCTTAAGCTATTTAACTGTTCTTAGTCTACTTTACTCATTTCTAAAAAGATTTTTCTTTAATTTCTAATTTTTCCTGAGATTTATCACTTCATTTTTGTTGTTTCTTAACTTGATTATTTTCTTAAATATTTACCTTGTTAAATCACATGCTACAGGGCCGGGGATTTAGCTCAGTGGTTCTGCCACCTGCCCTGCAAGTGCAAGGACCTGAGTTTAATCCCCAGTACCAAAAAAAAAAATCACGCTTTACAGTTTCATGTGTTTGTGATGGGCTTTCATTATCCATAGGGAGAAGATTCTCCACCTGTTTGTTTTGTTTTGTTTTGTTTTGTTTTGTTTTGTTTTGTTTTGTTCCTTATAATAAGCTTGTATGCTGCTTTACCTGAATCCTTTTCTATTGCATTTCAAAAATAAGAAATTAGCTTACCTGAACTTTTAGAAGAAGATGTGGTTCTAACTTCACTGAGCATTCTTCTGTCTTCATGTTACATTTTAAAATGTAGTGACTTGATTTTAGAGGTTCCTGGTTCTGTTCCAGCTCCATCAGAAATTTCTGTACTCACCCACCAGTGGATTAGGCAACACCATGCCCAATGTCAACTGCCATTCTCAAACAGCTCATCACACTTTCCAGTGAATACTCACTGGCTTCTTTCTGCTTCCTCCCCTACACAGGCTGATACGGCTTTGTGGGGGTTTTGTTTTGTTTTGTTTTGTTTTGGTACTGGGGATCAAACTTGGGTCCTTGCGCTTTCGAAGCAGGTGGCAGAACCACTGAGCTAAATCCCCGGCCCTGGAGTATATTTTTTAAAGTCATGACGATTTTTCTTTCTTTCTTTTCTTTCTTTCTTTTCTTTCTTTCTTTCTTTCCTTTCTTCCTTCCTTCCTTCCTTCCTTTCCTTTTTTCTTTTTATTGAGACAGGGTCCCACTATGTAGGTTCAGGCTGGTCTTGAACTTACTATGTAGCCAGCCTGGCCTTGAACTATTGGTGATCCTGTCTCAGCCTCCCAAGTGCTCAGATTACAGGCATGCACCACCAAAGGTCATGAGAATTCTATGGAAAATTTCTGGAAACAAAATACCTTCAAAACCTTAAAACTTTTTCAGAAATAAAAGAAGTAAAATAGAAAAAAAAGTACCCATTTTTTCCAGCTTACCTCAAAAAGTCTGAACAAGCGGTATCTTATTTTATAATCGGTCCACAAGACCATAAAAAAGGCATTCACTGAGATAGTGCTAATCATAATTATCTTAAATAGACGACTTGTTATGACTCTCTTCACAAATGCTTGACATTGTTCATCTTTCCTCCTGTCAAAAAGGCAAATAAGAGGTATGGTTATCACATGACAAAGCTAGATTCCCACACAATAAATACCTTTTTCTTTTCTTTTTGTAAGGGACAAGGATCTGTTTTCCCCCTTCTGTGAATATAAATTTACACATACTTTTAAATAGCAATGAATGAAATATGCATGATGATCATGGAAAGCCTGTTCCCACTCAGTTCCCTCTCCCTGAGCCTATGATAAAGAATGGTCACTCATTTGCAAGCCAAAGAAAAGAATCATCATTTACTTATTCAACAAATTTTTATTGCATAACTATTATATGCAGACAGTACAATAGGCAGTGGGGATACACTGTGAACAAAACTAAATATGGTCAGTCTGGTAGGAAAACTGATAATACTCAAATAATCATCAATACAAATTCTACAAATCAATGATTTTTTAAAAACTGAATACCCTAAGAGAAAATGGGCACACAGTCAATTCATGAAAGAAATACAAATGGCTAATACTTTCCCCAAAATATCAGGGGGATGCAAAGTAATACCATTACTTTTACTTATAAAATTAGCAAAGAGTTAACCATGGTAATATTTAATCCTCACAGCAGTAGAGTAGAGTAGGACATTTTCAAAGCCCACCAGGGAAATCCAAGTTGATCAGCTTCTCTAAAGAACCCCAGAATTACTCATTTCCTCTCTCCCATAGAATCTATCCCAAGAATACAATCTGAATGCAGAGAGTAACTTTGGCTAGAGGTGTCTATCCCAGTATTAGTTATACTAGCGAGAATTTAAGACTAATTTAAATCGAACAAAAAGAACTTGTTGAATAAACTATGTCACATCTATCTCATGAAATACAGATACTAACATATGTCTATGCATTTTTTAATGTTTTGGGGAAATGTTTGACCTGGTAGAGAGCAAAATATAAAAGCAAATTAAAATACAAAGTTTGCAGCCTAAAATTGTCTCACCTGTGCAAAAGTGGCCAGAAATATGCTAAAATAGTAACACTGTCTACCTATGGAGGCTGAGGTTACAAGTCATTCTTTAACTTATTTACATTTATCTGTGCTTTACAAATTTTCTCAAATAATATTATTTTTCCTATTGTATGTAACAAATGAACCGTCTCATAAAGGTTAAAAATATAGAATGTAGCTGGGCATGCCGGTATGTACTTGAGGCCTCAGCCACTCAGGAGACTGAGGCAGGAGGATTGCTTGAGGTCAGAAGTTCAAGACCAGCCTGGGGAACATAGCTACGACACCATCTCAAAACAAAATAAAACAAAATGACCAGAATTATATACCTTTACAACATATAAAAACATGATGCATACTTTTCCTTGTCTGACTTGAGATGCGATCCATTTTTTAAAACCTTCAAATTATTAATGCACTATCCAATAGAAAAAGATAGCACTGAATCAAACTAGTCATTCAGTCTGTGGGTCAATAACAATGTGCCAACCTCACCAACCAGGGAAACCAGACTACCAGGGATGTGCTCCTCCATCTGAGAAGCAGGTGTGTGTCTGTGGAAGAGACTGACACCCTGCTACTATAGTGCCCTTCTCACATTTCTTAATAGGGGAGATAGAGAATATTTACTTAAATTTCCTGAATCTCTCATAGAGCACATCTGATGCAATATCAAACAGTGAACTAGAAAAGACTTCTGAGGAGTCCTGTTGAAAGGGCTCAGACATTTTCCAAATTTTCAATTTTTACTCCTCGCTTTTATCATCCATCCAAAAGCTGCTTAGGGATTTTCTCAGTATCTGGATTCCAAGAGGCAGCAGAGAGGCCCCACGATGGGAAACTCTGCTTTATGAGGTCACTCTTGGGCATTCCAGCAGTCACTCGCCTGCAGGTCCCTCATGGGGAGCTTCCAATAGCACTATCCACGGATCCCTCTGCCCCAGGAAACTGGAGTTCCTCAGATCAGCAAGAGGGTTATGAGCACCCAGCAATGGTAAAGCTCTAGGACACTAGGAGACACTACAGACGGGCTAGACAAAGGCCCTCCCTTCTTCAGGAAGTGTCCCATCTGGTAGACAGAGGCCTTTAATAATGTATTAGAAATATTAAGGGTCACCAAAGAGGAAAAAACAAAGTTCTCTGGGATTCTAGGTGAGAGAACACACACCCCAGCACTAGAAATTCCAAGACTGATGGGTTTGGGGCTAAGATAAAAGAAATAAGAAGAACAGAGAAGATAACATAAGCCCTGCACTGGCTAATTGAGGGGGATGGATGAATACATGAACCTTCTAAATGGAGCATAAAGGATGTGCCTGGGGACTAGATATTATTTAAATACAAGACTTATAGGGATTTTTGCTCTGTTCAGCTCTCAAGGTAAACATACTCTCCCCCTTTTAACCCCTCTGGCTTTCAAGGTAAATCAAGAGAGAAATCTGCAAAGTTAATATGTTGTATTGTTTAAGTGATTACATTGATCAGTATAAGAAAATGCAATAATCTGTGCAATCCTGTCATTCTTTTTTTAACATGAACTTTATTGGAACACTCTTGACATACATAATGATCACACTCATCACAGGAAACTTGTACTGTACATATCTTAATTCTTTTTTTTCACATTCCCTTCCCTTCAATCCTTCTTCCCCTCTCCCTTTACAAAACTTTTTCTATTGTTTCCCTTCCATTCCTTTTTAAATTTTTTTATCCCTGTTCCCTCCCTTCCCTTCCTCCTCTCCCTTGCTCTTCTTCCCATTTGAACATTTTCTTCCTACCTCCCAATGTATATCATCCATTTTGGTCCTTATTTACCCATCCAGTTTCTCACAGACAGAAACACCACAATATTTAAACATGTGTCAGGGGCCAGGGATTTAGCTCAGTGGTTCTGCTGCCTGCCTCACAAGCCCAGGGAGCCGAGTTCAATCCCTGGTACCAAAAATGGTAACCAAAAAAATTAAAAAATAAAAAATAAACATGTGTGAGATTTATTGCACTTAAAATTATATTCTCTAGGTTCATCTATTTACCCAGAAATGTCTCAAGTATATCCTCCTTTATAGCAGTGTAGTACTCCATTGTATATAAAAACCACATTTTCTTAATCCATTCATCCATTGATGGGCATCTGGGTGTTTCAAAAATTTAGCAATCACAAATTGTACTGCTATAAACATATATCACTGTGGTATGATGATTTTAACTTTTTTTTTTTTGGTACCGGGGATTGAACTCAGATCCTTACGCTTGCGCAGCAGGTGGCAAAACCACTGAGCTAAATCCCCAGCCCGATGATTTTTAACTCTTTCAGGAAGATACCAAATGGGAATAGCTAGGTCAAACGGAACCTCTAGTTTTAGTTTGTTGAAGAATCTCCACACTGACTTCCATAATGATTGTACCAGTGTACACTCCCACCAACAGTTCCTTTTTCCCAACAGCCTCACCAGCATGTGTTATTGGTTGATTTTATGATACCCATTCTTTCTGGAGTGAGATGGAACATTTTTTCATACATTTGCTATTTATACTTCATCTGAGAAATGCCTTTTCATTTCAGATATCCATTTTTGGATTGGATGTTTAAATTATGGGGAGTCTTTTTTTGAGTTCTTCATATATTCTAGATATTAGTTCTTTGTCTGAAGAGTAGCTGGTAAAATTTTGTCTCCATCTTGTGGGTTGTCTCTTCACTTGGTGGTTTCTTTTGCTGTGAAAAAACTTTTTAATATGTTGTGATCCCAGTTTTTTATTTTTTCTAACATTTTCTATGAGATCAGAGTTTTATTCATAAAGTCTTTGGCTACACCTGTGTCTTCAAAAGTGTACCTATTTTAACTTCCAGCAGATTAAGTATTTGTTTTAGTATTTGATCCATTTAAAGTTGAGCTTAGTGCATGGTGAGAGATAAGAGTCTAGGTTCAATTTTTGGCATGTATAAAGCTGGTTCCCCAGAACTTTTATTAAAGAGGTTGTCTTTCTTCCAGGGAAGGTGTTTGGCCCCTCTGTCAAAAACAAGGTGGATGAATGTGCTTAGAGTTGTATCTGCATCTTTCATTTGGTTCCACTGATCCTCAGGTCTGCTTTTTGTTTTGCCATTATGATGCTATTTTTTATCACGGTACCTCTGTAATATAATTTCAGGTTGGGGATTGTGATGCCCCCAGCCTTGACTTTGTTGCTCAGAATTGCTTTTGCTCTTCTAGGTCTCTTCTGGTGGCAAATAAATTTTAGGATTGTTTTCTCTAGTTCTGTGAAGTATGCTAGTGGTACAGTATTTTGATTGAGATTGCATTAAATCAGTGCAACAGTTTTGGAAATATAGTCACTTTACTACACTGGTTCTCCCCATCCAAGAATAAAAGATATCTATTTTCTGATGTCCTCCTCAATCTTTTTCAGAGTACTGTAGTTTTTGATGTATAGGTTTTTTTACTTTCATTAATTGATTCCCAAGTATTTCATTTTTCTTGATGCTACTTTGAAAGGTGTGGTTTCCCTAACTTCTCTCTCAGTGAGTTGTATTCATGTACAGGAATGCTATTGATTTTTCTGAGTGTTGATTTTGTATCTTGCTATACCACTGAATTAAATTATTAATTCTAGGAGTCTTTTGGTGGAGCTTTTGGGGTCTTCTATGTAGAGTATCATGTCATCTGCAAATAATGATAATTTAACTTCTTCCTTCATATCCTTATTCCTTTTCTCTCTTCCCTGATTGCTGTGGCTAATGGTTCCAGAACTATATTAAACAGGAGTGGTCATAGTAGGCATCCTTGTCTTGTTCCTGACTTTAGAGTGAAAGCTTTCAGTTTTTTACCATTAAGTATAATGTTGGCTGTTGGTTTGTCACAGATGGCTTTTGTCAGATTGAGACAAAGATTTTTCTATTCCAATTTTCTATAGGATTTTTATTATGAATGGGTGTTGGACTGTGTCAGATGCTTTCTCTGTGTCTATTGAGATGATCATGTGGTTTTTGTCCTTGGTTTTGTTAATTCAGGGTATTACATTTATTGATTTGCATATGTTGAACCATCTCTGCATCCCTGGGGTGAATCCTACTTGGTCAAGGTGTATAACATTTTTGATGATTTGCTGTATTCTGTTTGCCAGTATCTTATTGATCTTTGAATCTATGTTCATTAATGAGATTGACTTGTAGTTTTTGGGGGGTTTTGGGGGGTTGGATTTTTTCTGGTTTGGGTATCAAGGTATTGCTTGCTTCTAAGAATGAGTTTGGAAGTATTGTTTCCCTTTCAATTTTGTTAAAGAGTTTGAGGAGCAGCGGCATTAGATCTCTAAAGTTCTTGCAGAATTAAGCAATGAGCCTTTCAGGGCCTGGGCTTTTCTTTGTTGGTAGTTTTTTAAATTATTTCTTCAATTTCATTGACTGATATTGGGTTATTTAGAATTTTTATATGTTCTTAATTCAGCTTTGGTAATTCATATGTATATAGGAATCTGTCCATTTCTCCTATGTTTTCCATCTTATTAGAGTACAGGTTCTCAAAGTTGATACTGATGATCTGGATTTCTGCAGAGTTCATTGTGACTTTGCACTTTTCATTCCTAATTTCATAGATTTGGGGATTTTCTTTTGTAAAGGTTGCCTAAGGGTTTGCCTATTTTAATTTTTCAAAGAACCAACTCTTTGATTCACTGATTCTTTGTATTGTTTAATTAGTCTCCATTGCATTAATTTCTGCTGAGTGCCCAGGAGGAGGCTCCTGGGCTGCCATAGCACCACTCCCAGTGCAAAGGAGGTGAGCCACATGGGCGTCAACAACACACACCCACACCCACCCCATGGAAATGAGAAGACACATAAACAAGCCTCAAAACCAGACTTCCAGATCACCTACAGCAACCCCAAAGAGAAACAAACAAGAGGAAACAATCTGATATTCAACCACCTGGACTCCCTGAACTGGCAACAAAAGAAGATCTGGAGAAAATGACATCAGAAATAACTTCTCAGATAACAGCATAGATTGTACCCATAGTGCAAGACATGATTAATAAATCTAGAGAGGACACAGATAAAAAAAATAGAGGAGCTGAGGAACATGATGGAATCCCAACATATGAAACAAATGGAATCCATAAAACAGATGCAAACAGATTTCCAGGAGATTAAAAACTCCATTGAAAGCTTACACAGAAGAATGAGCCTATGTGAGGACAGAATTTCAGATAAAGAAAATAAGATTGCAATTAGTGACAAGGAAAAGAAAAAATTCTTTAAAACTGTAAGGAAGCACGAGAAATCAATCCAGCAGCTGCTAGACAATGCACTAATTTCTGCTGTAATCTTTACAATTTTATCCCTCATATGTGCTTTCACTTTATCTTGCTCTTTTTCTAGAAGCTTGAGGCTCAACATTAGGTTGAGTTTGTTCTTTCTTCTTTATGTGGGAATTCATCACTATAAGTTTCCCTCATAGAACTGCTTTCATTGCACCCCATAAGTTCCAGTATGTTGCACTGGCATTATTGTTTAATTGTAGAAATTGTCTGATTTCTTTAATTTCATCTGTGACCCACTGGTTGTTCAGGAAGGAGTTAATTTCCATGTGTTTATGTAGTTTTTGTGGTTTCTTTTGTCACTGATTTCCAATTTCATTGCACTATGGTCTGATGATATACATGGGATAATTTCACTTTTTTTGCATGTTCTATCAGCTTGTATGTGGTCTACTTTAGAGAAAGTCATGTGTTGTGGAGCAGAAAGTGTATTCTGTTGTTGTTGGGTGGAACACTGTAGATATGTCCTAAGTCCATGTGTTCATAGGTTTGGTTAAGCTCTGATATTTCTTTGATTTGTCTAGTTGATCTGTATTTGTATTTGTGACAGTGCAGAATTGAGGTCCTCCATTACAACTGTATTAGTGTCTGTGTGATTTTTCACATCCATTAATGTTTGTTTTATATAGTTGGGTGCACCAGTATTTGGTGCATATAGATTTTGATTATCTCTCCCTCTTGGAT